CTGGAGAATGTCCTGTCCCACTCCTTGCTCAGATCAGGGTCAGTTACAGCAAGTTGCTGCAGGCTTTGTCCAGTCAGGTTTGAGCATCTCCAATGTTGCAGACTTCACAACCTCTCTGGAAAACCTATTCCAGTGGTTGACTACACTCACTATAAAAAGTGTTTAAATTGAGTTTCCATTATTTCATTTTGTGCCCATTGCATTCTCTGAAAAGCTACTTTCCAGCACGTTGTCCTCATCCTGTGCTGGTGCCGGGGGTAGTTTCTCCCCCGGTGCAGGACTCAGCACTTCCCTGTGCTGAATTTTATGAGATTCCTGACAGCCCATTTCTCCAGCCTGTCCAGGTGCCTCTGAAGCGACATAGTAGTATACCAACCACTTCTCTCATTTTTTTAATCATCTACAGAAATCAAAATACTAATCTAAAGACTGAACTGATTCTGGGAAAGTTGCATTTATGTAGCAAATTGAGAGGAGCATTTCATTGCCTGGTATGCATTGTAAGATTTTTATTCCTATTTATATGCCTCCTGGTATGCTTAGCAAGTGTATGATACTTTCTATATGTCCACAATGTATAAGTATCAGTTTGTGCATGGTGTATAAGCATCATTTTATCTTCCCATTTCCCTAAGAGTAAAATTCAAATTTTAATTTCTTAAAGTGTGTCATGGGCAAGAGAAACCTTCCCAGAGGCATTAAAGAAAATAAAGTCACTGGGAAACCTGGGAATTAGAACCAAAGAAACTTGTTCTCAGGTGACATTTTCTGGTAGCATCCTGCACTCACAGCCTAAGAGTGAGGACAATAGACTGTACAGACTAAGAAGGTAAGAAGTCAGTATCTAATGGATGCTTTCTGTAAAAACTGCTGTAAGCACACTACAGCTTTTAAATGTGACTATTTTTTCCTTCTGACACATTGATACTGAGATCATTCTAGGGCAGACTGATTTTGACTATGCCTTGCTACAAAAGACCAAATGGACTCATGTTTGCTAGCTTTAAACTTACCAGGGATATGATCACTACTGCTGGATAAGACACATCATACATCTGGTATCATTAGAGAATAAGCTTAGCAATGTTTTCCTTGACAAGATTTTGCTAGTGAAAAAATTAAACACAGGCTATGCACATACCTCTAAAAAAAAGAAAGCTCCAATGCCAAGTATCACTGACTGGCTCATATTTACATAGCTTAGGTGGATAGATTAGATTCATAGCACACCTGCCTTGGAGACAGGTAGGAAATGAGGTAAGAATTGAAGAGTGTGGAAACCAGCTGCTTGAGTCCTCTCTGGGGCCCTCCTCTGTGTAGCAGGGAAGACACACACTGAGAGGTCAAGACACTTGTGAGGCTGGCTAGGAGAGAAGAAGGAAAGAAGCAAAACAGAAACAAGCACAGGACAGGAGTTTCCATCCTAATAGACTCTCTATTATTTCCTATACTAATGAAATATGAGGAAATACCACTTACACAAGAATACAGATATTTCTTCTGGTCTGATCCTCCAAATAACACTCCCAATCAGTTTGACATAAGTATGCATTCCTTCTGACACCCTCAATACTGAAGTCTGTTCAGAGCAGGGGGAGATTTACCACACCTGTCCGCAAAAGACCAGTCTGGGAGAGAGTGGAGGTCCTGGAGGCACCAAGTTCCTACAGATGTGATGCTGGAGTCATTTGCTTGGCCACCAAGCAGAAGGTACGGATGGGTCAGGCAAATGGCTTATGATTCCGCTCATCTCCTATATCTCTTATCCTGCTTGCAGGCCAGAGAAAAGCCAGGGGACATGGCTGTGTGTTGGTACCTTCAGCTGGGGCCACAGAGAGAACACAGGCATGACCAATACTAATCCTTTATTGTGTCATTTGTTTTAAAAGTCAGTCAACTGTGAAACACAAATCCTTTGCTAAGCAAACTCTCTTAGTGCTGTGGTCAGTGGAAATTGTAGTTTTTTATGTCTCCTATAAGAAAGACAGAGACAGTTGGGGCTGTTCAGCCTGGAGAAGAGAAGGCTCCAGGGAGATCTTATAGAGGCCTTCCAGTACTTGAAGGGGCTACAAGAAAGCTGGGGAGGGACTTTTCATAAGGGCAGGTAGTGACAGAACAAGGGGAAATGGCTTTAAACTGGAAGAGGGGAGGTTTAGATTAGATATTAGGAAGAAATTCTTCACTGTGAGGGTGGTCAGACACTGGAACAGGTTGCCCAAGGAAGTTGTGGATGCTCCCTCCCTGGAAGTGTTCAAGGCCAGGTTGGATGAGGCTTTGAGCAACCTGATCTAGTGGAAGGTGTCCCTGCTGATGGCAGGGGGGTTGGAACTAGATGATCTTTAAGATCTCTTCCAACCCTAACCACTCTATGATTCTGTGACTATGAGGAGAGTTGAACCTAGGCCCTGCTATTCCTGCAAGCCCAATGATTGTGTCCAGAGCCCGGAGGCAATGGTGCCAACAAGCACTCCTCTAAGCAGGCAGGGCTGAAGACGACTTCTTTGGCAATGCTCCAAACAAGCACTTTCATGAGAATAACATGAAGAGTGCTTGCAGTATGGGGCTGCTGTCATGTGTAGGAAAGCTGAGGGAGATTTTGAAAGCAGAGGAGTCATATGAGCAGACAGATGGAGATGACAAGGAGAACGAACCAAAGACTATAAAGGAAAGGTAAGCAGACAGTTGCCGGAGAACAGGAAAACAAATACCTGAAAAGGAGTGTAGGATGAGGAAATGAAGGAGAAAAGGTTAAGAATGACTGAACAGATGGCACTAAATGGAGAAAAATATGTTTATATGAAAAGGGGCAGACCAGAAGGACAAGAGGTCTTGAGGTTCCTATGTGCATTACTGGGGAGATTACTGAGAGCACTGGAAAATGAAAATAACTGTTGAGACCAATATCTCACATAGCATTTCACAGCCAGTCCTCCATACTGTTTGCACTTAAGATGCTTCAGTATCACTTCCCAGCAGCTGTGGCCACATCCTAATTGTAGCATGATGATTTACAAAGAAAAGATAGATGCTGCAAGAGATAAGCAAAGAAGAAACAGGCCACAGTGAAGAGTTTGTCTCTGTTGCAATCCTGACATGGTGTCCTGTCCTGGCTTGATTCCTGGAGACCATGACGGACAGATCACATCAAGCTAATTTCCATGAAATGTGAGGTGCCTCCTGGAAATAATCAAGACTCCAGCTTGCTTAGAGGGCCTGGCTACATTTTTGCTTTCACCACAAATGAAGTCAGTCTAGAATCAACACTCTGAAATGACCATAAAAATAAATATAGAAGGATAGACAAGCACCAAAATATTACCATGATTCTCTTTTCTCCTGAGTTTGTAAGAATTTACCTCACAGTCTTAGAATTAATCTTAGAAATACCTGCAATCAAGGAAATTGCTGCTAGGAAACACTAAAACAAACAAACAAACAAAATTATCCAGTGTTTCTTCTTCATGTAGGAAACAAACAAAACAAACAAACAAAAACCAGAAAAACAAATGCTGGGAGTAGAGAAATCTCTTCTAAAGAAATTTAACTTCCTCTGAGAAAAGGAAAATGGCACCTACGATACAGATGTGTTTGACAAGAGCTGATGCCAATGTTTGATTAGCTCTGTTCAGATCTCCACACTACATGAATGAATGTGGAGTCAGCCTTTGCAGGTACTTGCACTTCCTTAGTAATTTAAATTTCCTACAGTGATCTGTAACATCTGACACCTTGGTTTCTGATAGAGCAACAAACAAAAATTTGAAGTAGACTGTTCTGGGGTGAGGGATGTAAACCTCCAAGAACAGAGGGAGTCATTCTAGTTTGAAAAGTGGAGAGCTATTTCTGATAGCAAACAGCAAAAAAAATACCATGGTGGTTTGACCCTGGCTGGCCACCAGGTACCTACCAAGCCACTCTCTCAGTTCCCCCTCTTCTTTATTCTCTACCTCCCATCAGCAGGGGATATCCAGCCACGTCCTGTGCATCTTTTTTGCATAGTGGGGACCAAAACTGAACATAGTATTCCAGGTGTGACCTGACAAGCACCGAGTAGCATCTCTGCTACTGAGTAGCATCTCTGCTGCAGATGCCCTTGTTGATGCAGCCCAGCATCCTGTTGGCTTGCCTTGCCGCAGCGGCACACTGTTCACTCATATTGAGCTTGCTGCCCACTAGGTCCCTTTCCACAGAGCTGTTCTCCAGCCAGGTAGGTCCCAACCTGTGCTGCACTCCTGCTGCATTCCTGATAAAACCTGACAGAGATTGAGACCTTTTTTCTCCTTCTTTCCTTAGACAGTTCAGATCTCATGGGCATTTTCCATTAACTCCTAAGACACGCTGGCAGGAGCAGGTACAGGTTCTGAACATGCCTGATGGTGATGCTGGCTTTAACAGAGCACTCATGGGGAAGTGAGTCATTCACACCCTGACACAACCAAAAGCCAAACCATCCACTTCCCAAAAGGTGCCCTCAACAAATGGTTAAAAGCCAACCTAAATGCTCGCTTTGCAGCAGAAGCTGGTGCAACGCAGAGGAAAATCTGCAGTGATGTTCACTCGAATCAGAAAGCAAGAAAACTTGACTTTCTGATGGTATGGTTAGAATAGGTATGTGCGGTAACAGTAATCATAAGTCATGGTCTCTGCACTGAATACAGTGAGTGTATGTGAGAATACAGTGAGAGGTCTGTGGTCTCTCTATCTCAAACTCCTGTGTTGTAATAGACAATAGTGAGATATTCATTTATTTCAAATAAGAGGTACCTGCCAGATGTCTTGAAGCACACCCTCTGCTTAGCTTTTCTAAATAATATATTCTAGGGGTGAATTAGATACCATCTTTGACTGTTCTCATGGGGAAAAAAAAAAAAAAAAAAAAAAAAAAAAAAAGCTTTGCAGAAACCAAAGTGGCCTTCAGCCTAACTTTTTTTTTTTCTTTTTTTTTTCCCCCTGAAGGCTTCATTGTCTGTTTGATGTTTGATACTCTTGGACTCGTGAAGATGTGTGATACTCTTGGACTCATTTACGTGATTTGGTGGTGCATGATGCTATTTCATCTCTTGCATGCTGACATTCAGTGTATGGGGTGTAAGTATGTTTTTGCAGATATAATCTGAGAAACAAGGTTTAATTCTTCACTTATCAGAGATATTTGTAATTAACCTGGCAATTGTCATCTGAAGCCTGACAGATACTATCCTCTGCATTCAACAAAAACAATAACATATCCTTACTGAACTTATTCTGTAATACTTTCAGCAGGGGCACAAGAATCACCTATTACAAATGTGAAAATGAACTGGAGAAAAATGGAACTGTCCTGGGAGAGCAGTAAGAATTTCTCTATGTACACATGTACCATAATGAACAGGGACATGGAAAGTATACAGAAAGAGGTAAACTTGCTATTCGTTCAGATAAACAACTTTTTCTTTATTTTTTATTGATTTCACTTACTTGTAAAAAAATAATCAGTTGCAGGTAAACTCTGATCAGTGATTGTTTGCAGTCTAGAGCTCAATCTGTCAGGAGCTGTGGGAAGCTGTCACCAATGCCAGGGTGTATTTGCTACAGGAGGAGCATCCCATGTATATCACAGAACTGAAGTTGTGGTACCAAAGTGGAAAGGAGGCAATGGCCTGAACTGTACCTACATTGAATCATGAATAGGGACGTAGCTGTGGAAAAAAGGGGCTGAAACTGAGACTGACTCCTAGAGTATTTAGAGAGACAAAGCAAGAGACCCTTCAAATAAAAAGTTAATTCCCCAAGTGCTGCCATGGATTTTCATTATCTCAAGTTCTTCACTCGTTTCCCAGTAAACTGAATCATGCCTGTTGCACAGGTTGTGTTACAAACCCACATTATCCAAAGCGAAAAGTAGGAAGATTGACAGAAAGAGAGGTAGAGATGGCCTATTTAGCTTAGAAAAGCAAATGTCTTAATTTGAAATACATATTACAAAAATACATCACATCTTCATTTAAGATTATAAGTGTAATGCCATAGACATCTTAACCTCTGGGGAGGTCAGACAAGGACTTCTATTTTGCTTCATCCTTTGACTAAATTCCATTGTTTCCTCTTTTTATTAATGATCATCTGTTACAGCACTGGGGTACTATTAGCCTTCTCCAGTAGTTGCACCCTATAACATCCAGCTCCTGAGCTGTAAAGCTTTTTGTGTAGTTATGCTTTTGACCACTAAGATTAATTCTACATCACATTCAAGTGGTAAAGGAGAGAGTTAACTCTTGAGCCTAAAACACATACACATACATACAAGATTTTGGCCATATTAATTGAGTTTCTTGAGTTGCACTTCCACAGCCAGAATCATCTAACACCAGCAGCAGAAAAACAGAAATAAAAGATGAGCATGTTCTTTTTCAGGTGAATAGTCCACTATGCAGGTTTCCAGTGGAACAATATGTGTCTCTGCACAAAGGGGTAGACTTTATAATTGAAGTGCCAAACACAAACATCTCAAAAAACTGCATCTTTATACCTGCAGGTAATGTCTATGGTCTGGGTAAGGTTTTCTTCATTTGTAACCTTTTAAAGGTAAATATTGCCTTAGAAAACAATTCCTTATGCAGTAGAAAACTGCTTTATTTTCTATTAAAATTATTTTTTGCAGATCTGCTAAAATTATTTGCTCTGTAATTAGTTTTTCCACAATCTTGCAAAAGATTACTACAAATGTATAAGTAATTGCACTAATCTCTTTCATAATAGGGCTCCAAAATGCCTCTAAATTACAGTGGTTTAAGGGTGGATTCAACTGTTTTGGCTGTTACAAATTAAGATGTTAGAGTCCATTTCTTTATTAAATGTTTTTTTGCTGGGCTGTTGGTGAGTTTGTCAGGAGCCAGACCACAGAGCTAGCTAAAAGCACAGTCTGGAGATTAGCAAAACCCTTAAAAAGGGAGAAGAGAAAAGGAAATGCTGGTGACAAGCAGCTAGGGGCACACTGAATGTAGCAATCTCCTATATAGCAATCTCCTAACCTGGCCCTGGTGTGCACATGCATGCACACACCCTCACAGGATCCCTCGGCTGCTGTAAACTCATTGAGCAGAGGCAACTGTTTACAAAGATATTACCAGCCTGTCCCATGTTGGGGTTAATCGAAGTGGGATTTAGGCAGATCCTAGGTTCATAATTCCAAACCTGAAGCTTTTATGGCACATTTTCCCCTTCCTTCTCAACTCAGAGTTCACTAAAATTGCCCAGTCACCAGGGCTCCTGCAGCTGTGTGTAACTGGGATATTTCAGACTTGACAGAGGTGATGAGATTAGCAGCTTGCTCATATGTGAGTAGATAAAGTACTTCCTACTCATCTCTCCTGCGGACTTGAGAGATGAAACACTCTCATGGTGACCCTCAAAATACAAGCCAGGACATACTGCCTCTTAAAAATGCCTGCTCTTCACACGGAATCTTAGGGGTTGGAAGGGACCTCAGGAGATCATCTAGTCTCCACAACCTCTCTGGGCAGAATGTTAAAGTGCTCTGTCACCCTTACAGTAAAGAAGTTTTTCCTTAAGTTTGTCTGGAACTTCCGGTGTTCCAATTTCTGCCCATTGCCCCTTGTCCTGTCACTGGGCACCACAAAAAAGAGCCTGGCCCCATCCATTTGGCCCCCACACTTCAGATATTTATAGACATTGATAAGACCCCCTCTCAGTCTTCTCTTCTCCAGCCTGAAGAGTCCCAGCTCTCTCAGCCTCTCCTCATATGGGAGATGCTCCAAGCCCCTCATCATCTTTGTGGCCCTCTGCTGGACTCTCTCCAGAAGATCCCTGTCTTTCTTGAACTGGGGGGCCCAGAACTAGACACAGTATTCCAGATGTGGCCTCACCAGGGCAGAGGGGGAGGAGAACCTCCCTTGACCTGCTGGCCACACTCTTTTTAATGCACCCCAGGATGCTGTTGGCCTTCCTGGCCACAAGGGCACACTGATGGCTCATGGCCAGCCTGCTGTCCACCAGCACACCCAGGTCCTTTTCCACAGAGCTCCTCTCCAGCAGATCAGCCCCTAACCTGTACTGGTGCATTGTTTTTGGTGTTCCTCCCCAGCTGGCCCTAGCCTCCAAGCATGCAGGTTCCCCAGGGGATTCCACCTTGCTTCCACCAGATTGGTCTCAGTACTGGGCACTGGGGGAGCTGGAGGCAGTAGCAGAGGAAGCCTCCAACCTTTTGCTGAAGTTGGGGCACACCACAGAAAGAAGCAGAAAATTGGAAGAAGGAGAAGGGAGAAGAAGGCTGAGCATGCCTGCACAGCCCAGCCATGAGGGAGCTTCCAACGAAGTAATCTTCCCACTTCAATGTGGTTCAGAAAAGGAAGAGATCAAGTCACTGTTGCCCACATCAGGGTGGAAAGATCTAGCTAGGAGGCTGTTCGGTCAGAAGGCAGAAAAAAGTCCAACCTTACTTTTAAAAGTCACAGCTTTTTAAATGCTCTATGTAAACACTTCAGGAGTAGATTCCTGGGCATTAATTGCAAAAGGAAAAACACTTCTCTCTGTAGCACCAAGAATGGTGTTAAAAGGCAATGTGCCTTCCTTTACTGTACTCACTCCTAGGTTGCACAGTTCAAAGGCAGTAAAAAATAGGGTGAGAGTCCAGCTTTCTCTCATTTGTTATTCCTAACCCAAACAATAACCAGCAGGAGTTGCAGGTATCTAACATACCTAAGCATGTGACAAGATCCCCCAGCTTGGAGCAGTCACACCATTTTTCCTCATCATGGACATTCCTGTGTTTGCAGGCTTGAATGGGTCAGCCATTGAAAACTTCTCCTGTGTGATTTACAATGTTTCCCTCATGAACTGCACTTGGCAGGAGGGCATAAATGCTCCAGGAGACACCCAGTATTTTCTCTACTGGCAGAACCCAAGGTAAGTAGGTCTGCTTGAGTCTAGGGAAGCCTGGATTCTCATTGGACACATCACACTGCCCACCTTTAACTGAAACACTTTGCTGTATACAGAGACAACGAGGAGATGGAATGTGAGCTTTACATTAAAGACAAAAATGGCAGAAACACAGGATGTAGATTCCAAAATGTGAGGATAGAGACTGAAATAGCTTACTTCCTGGTGAACGGGTCTAGCAAAGACTTCCTGATCCAGTTCTATGATGAGTACATTGAACTGTATAAAATTGGTAAGTGAACATTTTTATTTTATTACTGATTTATAAAATGAGGAAGTGGGAAAAGAAGAATAAAACAAAGTCTGTAGCTACCACAGAATCCTACGCTGCAGGACAGACTTCACTCCTGATAGCTGAGAGAATATAGTTCCAAAAGTTCACTAAAAGAAGCAAAGACAGAAGCAGCCTGAAATAGTGTCGGGGAAGTGGTGCGAACATATCCATGGAATCCAAGTCATGAAAAGCAATGGTTAGACTTTGAAGGCTATTTTTCTGATGTGCTCATTTGTCTATCACATAATTCCATGCCTCTCTGACAGCCACAACAGCTACATCTCCTAAAACCAGAGGGAGGCTTCAACTTGCAAATTAAGACTGTGTTATTTAAATATGTGGATACCTATGTACGAATTAGGTGTTTAAGCCTTGATATAGCTCTGGGACAGGATTCAGTTGGCTAAAAACATGTCTCTAGTTCAATTTGAGACACCCTCAGACACTTGAGGCACCCACAAGGCTTGGAGATGTGGCTCAGGACCTGTGAGAAACCAGGGTCCTCCTGGGTGTCCTATGTAGTCTGAAATGTACTGCATGAGACAGGCTATAAAGCCCAGAGCTATTGAGCTGAGCACGCCTGTTCCATGGTACACCAAACGGCTTTGTAGACATCATGGGCACTACTGATAAGGTTTCCGCTGACTAGAGTGGTTAGGCACTTAGGTCACTCCTGCTCAACTATACTGTAGGCACTCAAATTCAGATTATGATCTTCTACCTGTGTACTACCACACACACACACACAAAAAAAAAAAAATCTGTCTTTTTTCCTATGGACACTTGTATTGTCAATGTGAAATTTAGACACAGAAAAAAAACGGCACTCTGCTGATTGTACTACTGAATTACACAAAATCCTTCATATATTTTTTACATGAACTTCAGTTACTTCATATGTCTAGATGATATATTCCCAAGTTTTGCTACTGTATTTTACTCCTGTTTAACAGATAACATTTGTTAACGTCAGTAGCACAGAGTTGTACATCAGTTGCTTCAACTTCACATGTATTTTGCTACGAACAGATGAGTTGCAGCTGGTTACTAACCACATCTATGTTAATTATTTAATTTATTTCCAGAAATACTCACTCCTCCATTAAATGTCACTGTCAACTGTGCTAGAGATACAGCAAGCTGCATAATTACATGGCAACCACCCCTTACAAGTCATGTGAAAAAAGGAAAGTGCTTTCAGTATGAAATTAGCATACAAAGTAAGGTAAAAACAATGTTTTGGTTTGTATGTGGCACTGTAACTGTGTACATGTACATCTCTAACGTGAAATCTTCTGTTTCCTTTATTTATTAACATCTCTCAGAGGCTGCGACGTTCTCCTGCTCCAGCTCTGCTGGTCTCGCATCCCACTGCTCATGATCTTATTTCAAACTAATCAGAGGTGCAGAGCAGAAAAGCAGAGGAGAGCAGGGAAGTGTTTCGAGTGGTCTCTGTCCAAAGACTGGGAGAGCACCCGAGGGGCTTTGCAGCATGAGCACGCCTTGCAGGAGACGACCGCATGATGGCAGCCTGTGATCTGCAACGAGGGCGCTGCGTCGCTGGCAGCCTCCAGCCCAGCCCAGCCCAGGGCCCCACATGCTCACCCTGCCTCCCTGGGCACCGCGGCTCCCGGCACTCTGATGGCGTTTTGCAGATGCTGGAAAGCTCACAGTTGCCCCTCAATTTCCGCACATGGGACTGTTTTGCTCCCTCAGCCTCCACACCTCTCCCCCACTGCCTCTCCCACTGTCTGTCGCCTTCTGGCAGCCTTCCCTCTGATGCTGTCCTTAGAATCATAGAATGGTTTGGGTTGGAAGGGACCTTTAAAGTTCATCTAGTCCAACCCCCCTGCAGTGAGCAGGGACACCTTCAACTAGATCAAGTTGCTCAGAGCCCCATCCAACCTGACCTTGAATGTTTCCAGGGATGGGGCTTCTACCACCTCCCTGGGCAACCTCTTCCAGTGTTTTACCACCCTCATTGTAAACGATTTCTTCCATATACCTAGTCTGAATCTATCCTCTTTTAGTTTAAAACCATTAACACCTTCTCCTATCACTACAGGCCCTGCTAAAAAGTTTGTCCCCATCTTTCTTATAGGCCTTCCTTAAGTATTGAAATGCCATAATAAGGCCTCTCAGGAGCCTTTTCTTCTCCAGGCTGAACAACTCCAACTGTCTTAGACCCGGAGCCTGGTTGAGCCAACCGAACCCCCGCCTGTCTAAAAAATATCCATCAAAACCTCTGTTTTGAAATAAGTGCTGAAACAAAAGCCACTCTAAGATACCAGCAACTCAGGGGAAAGTTCTCACAGGCCCAGGGTAGACGTGCACAATGGATGTGTTTGCTTTTCAGTGAGTTACCCTCTATTTCTGCAGTCAGATGTGGTGTCACCCATCTCCTTCCAAAGTAGATGACAGACAAATTGTGTCCCTAAAGTGCTTCTTTCTTTCCATTGACTATAAGAGGGGAACCTGAAATGGCTATCTCAGATATAAACATGTATGTGGCAAAAGTGAGGTGGGATCTCTCCTACGCTATAGGCAGAGCACTGCCAACTTACCATACTGACCACAGGAAAAGTGCAGGACAACACCGAGTGTGGACTTTACCATAGCTGAGGTATGTCTGGTTTCCATCAAGTACGACTGAGCAGAGAGGCTGAGGTGTCAAATCCTCCTCCACAAATCTCAGTGCCTAAAGAGATTAACACCCCTAAGGAAAAAGAGCGGGAAAAATCTTTTGAGTTTGACAAGGAGGCCAGAAATACCACTTTTCCTCTCCATCCCGGGATACCTGTTTTACCATTATATGATTTCCACATGCAGATGACATTTGCGCTGTGACAAATTAGTGCTCCTTACCCATCTCATTTCCCAGCCACAGGTCAGAAGCTTACTGTAGTGGTAATTCCTCAGCCATTTGTATCACAAGACCATTACAGGGAAGATCAGCTAAGGGTTAAACATAAATGTTCAACTACAATAAAGCAATACATCATTAAAACTCATTAATTTGTTCAAAACAAGGCCTGCAGCTTGCAGGCTGTCTGGGCTGCCTAGATTTGGTACCTCGCATGCATCAATAGTACCTACCTCAGTAGCTATTTCAAGGACCAATGCAGTACATGTAAACCAGCTGTCTGGTATAATTGAACAGTAAAATCCTGTGTGAAATACTCAGAATGTTTTACATAAAGATATAGGTCATAACATATAACTAAAGCAACATTATTAAAAGGTTTCTTTTAAAGAAATACCTGTTACCTCATCTTTCCTGTGTTGCGGTCAGAATGGGTGGCATTCAGTAGATTCCTACATATGGGTGTGAAATTCATCTCACAGACTGAGACACCTTAATGTAGGTGTCTGCAAAGGAACACAGATATCCTGAGAGAGTCAATGCAGGTCTAGGGCTTCATGCAGCTGAGCAGTAGGTGCCTCATTCCCTTTAAGGTGCTATTGGTACTGGAGGTACCAGAGGTACCTACATGGAGATGGTAGACAGAACTGACACCTTTTGGGAGGGGTCATCAGAGGCAAGGCAGCTAAAATGGCACTGCACACCTAAAGTTTGAGTAACTCGTTTGCATCCTTCCCATTCACAGTACAGGCTGATGACTTCCATCATGCCCTAAATTGAAAGATTTCAGCTGACAATGAGGAACAGAGAAATGTCTGTCTTATAATGCAACACAGACTGCAGGTGTATTTTCTGAAATGAGACATTCCCTCCAATAACTTCTCTCTGACTTTTCCATAATACCAGCTATCTTTCTGACATTACATGCAACAGGTGCTTCCAGGACCTCAGCTTTTCAATGTTTTCCGAGATCTTTGCTAAAATCACTGCTGTTGATTTTGTTCACTCATTTTTGAACCCATCCTTTTTTCAAAATTTTCAGGTTCTTTGATCTAGGTCAATATTTGAATCTAGTTAATTACATTTTGATTGTATGGGATGTGTAAGTAGCTCTTCACGGTACTGTGTGGAAAGCCCTGGAGTATGGAACACTTAGATGTCTAAGAGAGTCTTTGAGTGGAAGGAGGGTAAATTTGCTGTTCACATTAATTTTCTGTCCCATGTTATGAAACTACTATGAAAGTTTCCAGACCTGCTGTGTTTGGGGGATGATTTGATGGCTTGTGTAATTTGGATGTACTTCTGCTGGATGAGAATGCACAGTGCAAATATGCCCTTAGAGGCAAATACAGCTTCTCACAACCATTGATAAATAATTCATGTTTCCTTAATTTTCTAAAATGAAATGGAGGAAGCTAAAACTCTGCATAAAGTGCTATACTCTGGGACATTACTGGAGCAGAATACCCAATTGTTTTTTTCAGTTTAAAATTACTTGTGATCTCTATAAACAAGAAAACAAGAACAAAAGAGGGAGAAATATTTGATTATTTGACAAGGAAATAATAAAAATAAAGATTTGTCTTTGGTTTGCAGGATGAGCCAAAAGAAGAGAAAAAGGATCCTCCTGTAAGAGTAAGTATCCTTGTCATATACAAATTCATACTTTTGCCCACTTAAGAATATAAATACCATCACATAAAATATAGTTTCTTCTCGAACTATAGTTTTTGTATCAATATAACAATGAAAACTCTGGAAAATACATTCTTGTGGTATCTTTATGTGTAAACTTAATACCTCCTTTCTGGATGGGGTAGCTTGCACTAGGCAGAATTTTCCATGTATTTCACAGAACTTCATACTTTCCATTTATCGTGCAAATAGATTTTGCTTAATACAAATTGGAAACTTTCTCTTTCTTGTATCTGTTGGTGGAAAAATACCACACTAGTACAGAGGGAATCCTGAGATCTTCAAAACCTGTGGAAGTTTATTGGGGTTCCAACCCCATAAACACCCAAACACCCACTGACACCCCAACACACACTGTCAGTCTTCCCCAGACAAGTGAGTGGTCCTTTCAGTCCTAGAAGCATCATAGTCTTAGCAGATTCCAGTCCTTGTATAAAGTACCATGGGACCAGATGACACATATTTATTATTGGATTGTCTCAAAAACATTAAAACTGTTTAGCAAAGACAGACACCATCCAGGGAATATTTTCATTATCAACCCCCATAAAGGTTGCAAGGTGAATTTACAGGGTGCTTCTCCAGTTTCAGCTTTCAGTCCTTGTGGTTTTTTTAGGATCCATAAATAAGTATAGGAAAAAAAAAGTGTCCTTAAAGCATAATAAAATAAAGACCCAATAAACTTCAAAATCCAACTTTAAACCTCAAAAGCCAGAAAGATTCAGTGGCAGGATGAACTAATTTATCATGGTTTTAAATTTGGGGAGAAGAACATTTAACTAGTACATACCTACAAAATCATACAAATCAGTTTTTTATAGAAATTGTATAAGGAAATTAAACCCCAAATTTTATTTATATTTGACTATGGGGTGAAATGCATGCTCTGATTGCTTTGATTTTAGGTAAGGAATGACAGATACGAATTTCAAAACTACAATGAGAAAAAAAAATACATTCTGCAAATCAGAGCACGTGGAAAAAACTGTCTCGTAAGCTCAAACTGGGGGGAATGGAGTGAACCCATTGAGTTTGGTAAGATTTTTTTTATTTATTCCCCGCCCCCCAGTATTACCACATTTGTCTCCCTTTCTCCTTCACGCTCACAGATATGAATAAAATGTTAATTCTTACCCAATGACATGGAAGGAACTGGGTGGAAATGCTTAAATACTATGGCAACAGAGGCTGATACCAGCCTTTGATGAGTTGGGATGGTGAAGGCAGAAGTTCCTCAGATGCCACCGCTACAGGCTGAGATAGACTCAGTCTTGTTTTCAGTATAGAGTGCGGAGGCTGCCTTTCAGTTCTTTTTAAGTTTTTGCCATGAGTATAATCTCCTTCCTTCAGCATCTTCCTTTTCACCCTTTCCTCAATACTCTTTTTATAGTTCCACCACTTTTGCTCTATATTTCATTCTGTGACACTGTTTTTCCTTCTCTTTTTCTGGATTTTTTTTTTTTTAATTATTATTATTCTCTACATTTAAAATGTTCAAAATTGTTTAAAATGCATCAAGCATACCTGAACATTTTAACAAGGTTCTGTAAGAAGTCAAGTTGAAGTCCTTCACATTATTCAAAAAATTGAGTGAAATTTGCATTCCTTACTTACAGTCACAAGCAAAGGTAGGTATTTGGCATAGTAAGATATTTCTCTCTCTTGGATGTTTCAGGTCAAGGGGACAATTACTTTATTTTTGTGATTTTATTTCTGATAGCACTCGGAACTATCACAGTGACACTACTCCAATATTGTCTTTTCAAAAGGTAAATCAACATAATTGATGTACAAACTATTGATATAGTATTATTTCTATGAAACACATTCCTCCTACCTCCTACCTTCCTAGCTACCAACTTTAATAAGTATTGTTGTGGATGCCATTTTGATGTGCAAAATCACTACAGGTGAAAAAGCAGGAAAGGATGTTAAAGTTCGTAAGTGATTGATTCCACTAGATCCTGCAAATACATTTCTGTTTTTACTTTTAAGCATTTAACATCCACATTGTTTTGAAGCAAATACAGTATCAGACAAGAGGGCATGAGGACAAATGAACATGTCATTATTTTGATAAAACTTTTCACTTAGTGGTGGAAGAAAGTTATGTCATGACTTACTGGAAGTCATTGTTTAATAAAGTATTTACTGTGACTCTCATCACATAATGAATTTTAGCTACC